GATATTGTGAAAAAGCATTTCTTGTTTAGATACTCGATTTAAAAAATTGGAATTTCAAAACTGTTGAATAATATATTTCATATAAAATTGTAAACGATAATTTCTTAATAATAATTATTAAAATAAAATTATCATAATATATGCATGTACACATGTATTTGCTAATTTTTGTTAATTAATAATTTGAACAAATTATTGCGATATTGTGAAAAAGCATTTCTTGTTTAGATACTCGATTTAAAAAATTGGAATTTCAAAACTGTTGAATAATATATTTCATATAAAATTGTAAACGATAATTTCTTAATAATAATTAATCAAATAAAATTATCATAATATATGCATGTACACATGTATTTGCTAATTTTTGTTAATTAATAATTTGAACAAATTATTGCGATATTTATTACGATATTGTGAAAAAGCATTTCTTGTTTAGATACTCGATTTAAAAAATTGGAATTTCAAAACTGTTGAATAATATATTTCATATAAAATTGTAAACGATAATTTCTTAATAATAATTATTAAAATAAAATTATCATAATATATGCATGTACACATGTATTTGCTAATTTTTGTTAATTAATAATTTGAACAAATTATTGCGATATTGTGAAAAAGCATTTCTTGTTTAGATACTCGATTTAAAAAATTGGAATTTCAAAACTGTTGAATAATATATTTCATATAAAATTGTAAACGATAATTTCTTAATAATAATTAATCAAATAAAATTATCATAATATATGCATGTACACATGTATTTGCTAATTTGTGTTAATTAATAATTTGAACAAATTATTGCGATATTTATTACGATATTGTGAAAAAAGCATTTCTTGTTTAGATACTCGATTTAAAAAATTGGAGTTTCAAAACTGTTGAATAATATATTTTATATAAAATTGTAAACGATAATTTCTTAATAATAATTAATAAAATAAAATTATCATAATATATGCATGTACACATGTATTTGTTAATTTTTGTTAATTAATAATTTGAACAAATTATTGCGATATTTATTACGATATTGTGAAAAAGCATTTCTTGTTTAGATACTCGATTTAAAAAATTGGAATTTCAAAACTGTTGAATAATATATTTCATATAAAATTGTAAACGATAATTTCTTAATAATAATTAATAAAATAAAATTATTATAATATATGCATGTATATATGTATGTATAATATATGTATTCTGTTTATTAGTTAAGATTCTAAAAGAAAATAAAAACTGTGTGCATATTTTAAAATTTCTAGTTTTAATTTTGTAAACTTAAACGTACGCAAAAATAAAGTATTAAAAATTAAAAGATCGTGAAAAATAAATATTGTGTTATTAAAAGTTAATAAAAATTTTGAGAATAAAAGAGTGAATTTTTAGGAGCCTTGCGATCATGCCACGTGCGGTTATGCAACAATTCGTCACTGTCCATTGACTTCAATTACCGGGCTGAAAATATTTGCGCGCCCGGCTATCGGCAAATTTGCCGTTAGATCGATACAGTTATTCTCCAACCGCGAAAAATGTGATACTCGTAAAATAAAATCCGGTCGTTTTCAAACTAAATTGTTCTTAACGTCTAGCTTTTAAAGTGGAAACATAAGTGTAAAGTTTGATCCCTTCGACTTGCAAAATTTGATTTGTAAAATAGGATATGCGAACGGTAAACTCTTGTAAACGTTATCGTCTATACTCTATAAACCTAATCGGTTTATCTATATTTTTTATATTTTGATAACGTAGAGAATGTGTGAACGTGCGGCAAAAAACATTTTGAACCAACTCCAATTTATAGTATTATTTAGATAAAAAATATTTTACAAACTTTTAATTTTTTTCTTAATAAAAATGTAAAAGAAATTTTACTTGTTGCAATTTTTCAATAATGTCCGTATAATAGTGTTTACAATTAAATTATGTTCAAATCAACATTTATTTATTTATTAGTTGGAAAAGATTAATGTTTTCCTGTTTAAATAAATAGTTTATAATAAAGATTTTTATATTATAATTTGATAGCTTATTAAGAATATATTTCTAGATATATTTTTGAATTACTCTCTCACAGTTTGATTCTTTAGTGATAGAAATTTCCATAGATATATGCGTATACAATAATATGATTCAGCATAATGCATATTCACATTTTAATTATTATAATACTGCGTATACGCAAATAAAACCACGATACACAGCGTCCACATCATGTTAACGAGGCGCCTTGATTAAAGCAACCGTCTGTTCCAATCAGCAGTATGAATTATTAATTCGTTCTCGCCGCAGCAATAATTACCAATTGGTTGATGAAACGTGATGATATTTGTGTCTTAGGAAAAATGCACATCCAAACAATTATATAGTATTTAATAATTGTTTATTATAAACTAATTTTTATATAATAATCTCTGTTAAGGTTATTAATTTCTTAAAATTTATAATTTTATTTATTATAAACTTACTTCGAAAAAAAACTTATTAGCATCTATTGATAATGAAATGCTTTTTCTTTAAATATTTTATGCGGCAAAGGACCTATACAGGGTGTCCGGTAACTAACGGACCAACGATCACAAATGGATTCTTTGGTCAATTTGGGAACGATTTTTCTTCAGCGAAAATGTCGAAAAAGGTCATCATTTTTTACAACTTTCCAATATTTGTCATTATGTATTTTTATAACTAAGCCTCGAATTAAAATTTTATTATAGTAAACTCTACCTGAAATTAACTGAAGAATGTAATTATGTTAGACTTTTAACTCCACAACGTTTAGTTTTCAAAAAACCCATTTTTTTCAATCGCTTATAACTCGAAAATGATCGACTTCTCAACATTTTTGCTAAAAAAAAATCGTCTCCAAATTGGCCAGAGAATCCGCCCTTAATCATTGGTCCGTTACCGGACACCCTGTATATTCGAATGCACGAAATTCTTGGTACCACCCAGTGAGAAGGCGACATTCAACCTTCGATTAAACGGACGTTCTCGAACACGCTCGGGATCATCGGGAAGTAAAGCATATAAACTCGCTTTTGCCAGGCAATGTGTACGACGTTCACGTACTGGCGGCTCGATCACGAGCGATTTGCGGAGGATGCAAGCAGCAGCGGGAGGAATAATCAGCGCGATGCCAGTAGTAATTAGTAGCTCGTGCGACGCTGCGGAAATTACCACGGGCGGCCGGCTTCGAGAACCGAGGCTGGAAGCACGAAATATCTATACATACAGTCATTATCGCGATCGTTTACATCGTTTGAAACGACGATGCCGCATAAAGTACGACTTCGATACGTGCAAACTTGCAAACGCGAGTCGAACGATCTGAGTTGAAGTTATTAGGTATACGTCTCCACATTTATCTCGACGATTTATCTCGTCGGAATCGATAGTACATTTTTTTTATCGAAAAAAGTGACATTAATCTAATTACGTAATGTTTTCGAAAGAGCAAGATTCATTTTTTCTCTTTCTCAGCCATCCTTTACCTTCCCTCGCTTTTACTCTCTTCATCGACATGCACCTCTTCTTCGCCATTGTTAAAGGAGATTGAAAACGTGTTTCTTTTATCTCCCCTATAAATCGCGTACACTATCGTATCGGGTATCTTTGACCAGATTACAGTTTTCTTTTGGATATTCCTGATAACGACGTTTCACGATTATCGGACAGATTGCACAAAATGGCGGTTTAATGACGCGTCCATCTTTGAAATGACATAAAATGTTTTGACATAAGATCAAATTAAATGGCTCTTCTTTTCCTGTTCTATTCTCGTTTGTTAATGCATTGCGGAAGAATCGCTTCTAAATATTTAGCTATAAATTCATATATTTTTATATCGCGGTTTAAAGTTTACCTTGCTAAGTTTTTCAACACTTTTTTACCATTTTTTTTTATCAGCTTGTTTGTTTAAAAATCGTTGCAAAACGATTTTTACAAAACATCGCTTCGCGATGTCTATCACGTATGATTTTTGTCTTTCGGTTATTCACAATACCTGATATCTTTTTTTATAAACAAAATATTCACGTTATTTTTGCATCTTTCGCAAAAAATCAAAAAAATCAAAAAAATATTCTTTGCTGCAAAAATTGAATTAGGTAGGATGTTGCGATATTTATGCGCTACGAAGTTTTAAATGAGCTTTTTAACGCTCCGTTAAAACATATTAAAAGAAGCGAACTTTTTTTTTTCACGATTATTTTATAATGGCGCCGCTGAGACACGGACTTTTAACCCCGTACTCCTCCCTCTACCGGTCTGTAATATTCAATAGATAATTCAATCTCGTGACCTGGATTTTCATTTCGCTGGAGATCGACCTTGCGCTATACCATCGTTACCGGATAATCCACGTGATTAGCGGCAATTGGAATCTTCTCGCACTTCAGAGCATCAGGAATTATTTCTCGTGCCCCCGTTATGCGCAGTTTATTTTCATTAGCACAGAATGCGATCCTTTCCCTCCGTCATTATATATATATATATCTATATTGCGCGCGGACTTCTAGCCGTTGCAATATTAATCACCACCAACACAATAATAAGGTGCTATCTCATAACATCGATTTCGACGCTATTATAATATATGCATGTGTCATGTCTCTCATTAAAATGCAATGGATAATTTGTACATAATTTTAAAATAGTTATATGTATTATTACTATTATTTTTCAGAATTCTTGTAACGTGTTATACTTTACATAGTTGGTAAACTTTTTATAATTAATAACATTTTAATTGGTTGATAATTATTTTCTACAATGAAATGCATTTTTGTATGTAAACACGCAGACTTTTAATATACATCTCCATATAGAACCTTTAATTAAAAAAAAAAAAAAGAAGAAGTAAAGATGTATGTTACTAATAATATTGATATTTTTGCATAAGTATGTTCGATATTAATGGAAATATTATAACCAAGATTTCAATTATTACAAACATTTTATTATATTTTTACATATTTAACATTATATTTCTCAAATATATATTATATTGGTTTTTAAACCAAAACTTCAATCATGAAGCAATTATAAAGTGTAGGAATTCTCGTATATTGAGTAAGTATATAATTTATGGATGACCTATATACTAAATTTTTTATATACCGACATTTTAACAAGAGTTTTCAAATAAATGCGAATGCTCGATTAAAGTGTTACTGGTTTCCGATAAATATAAAAAGAGTTAGAGAGATGTATACAATGAAAAATATTTCTGGTCACTATTTCTCGATTACTATATTAAGCGAACGCTAAATTAACCACAAATCAAAAAAAAAAAAAACAAACCTCTATTAACTTTACATAAATCCTTATTTATGTACAGCAACTTTACCACATTTTATCAATAACTTTTCAATATATTCAACTTCATAATACCAGCAAACAGTTATATACGTATCTTCTGTTGAGCTTGTATCGTAGGGGAAAAAGAATATTTACAACGGTGTATGGAATACGTTATTTCCGCGTTTGTATGTAATATCGAACGGATAGCATGTTGTTGCCTTTGGTATACAAAACGGACACGCATCAATATTGACGATCTAGGAAGAAGAATTTAATTATACCAGGTACAAAAGAGCGATCGGTCATGATTGCCATCGCTGATGTCACGTCACTCTTGTCAGTATCCCGCGTGTGCGGATAACGCAGCGGCGTATTCATGAAGGGGTAGACCTTGGGTCTCCGTATCGTGTCCTTGACCACCATACACCCCGCCTGAATGATCGTTTTTCCCGGTGGTGTGCACTACAGCGTGAAATCCCTCCTTGTCCGCATGATAGCTGACGACCCGAAAAGTGCCACCTGGATCTTTTACGCTATATTCTCCAGTTACGCTGCCTCCTGTCAAAAGAAAGAAGTTTAGTAAGAAGACAAAAAGATTGCTATCTCTCAATTCTCACCCTTCTAGGTCGCGTGACAGGATGGTGAAACATAAAACACGGATGAAGATGCCATTAGTGTAACAATATCGACAGTTAGCTTTCAATTGTGAAATATCTCGTTCTTAACGAGTTTTTTTTTTTTCACGGTTCTATATCAAAAAATATATTTACCATGATGTCACATTGTTTAGCGGCTTCGCGGATGAACATTAAACATTGTACATATATATAAGATATTTGAGAATTAAAATAATTCTATATAGTAAAGTTTACTTAAATTGAAAACGCAGGTTAAGGTACTCTTACTTATTTAAACTTTTGATAAATATTTGTAGAATCTTTCACTTTCAATCGCCCGTATACAACTCGAAGAAATACAAGAAGCTAAATAGCATCAGCACTAAATAATAATGTTTCCATACTTTCGCTGAGGAAAAATTGACTCCAAACTTGGTCAAAAAATACACCTGTAAAGTTTGCTCACTTTTGGTAACTTTATACCTTTATACAGAAACTCCTGCACACAACTGCGATATCATACCGTCGCGCTGTTGACGCCAGTTTACGATTCTTCGAGTCAACTTCACGTTTCCAAGTGAGAAAACGTAGTTTCAACTGAAGAAGTGTCGCGGAATACATACACACACGCGCGATTCGCAATCGCACACATACAAACTCATATGTACACTCTAGGACGTGTTGGAGGGCGCGGACAGCCTTCGCGGAAATGCAATTTTCTTTTCACCCGTGGCAATTTTTGCCGACGTCAGCGCGTGGAAATCGGGTAAAGCGACGCCACAGGTAGCCCCCTACAAGTCCGTCCCGGAGAGTCCGTTTTGTCGTTTTCCCGCCGCGAAAGTCACGAAGGCGTAAAAGTGACCGACTCACCGTCCCTGGACTCCTTCTGGCCGTGAAAGTCGCCGGTGTGATGATCCTCGACGCCGTACGAGAACTCGTACTTGGGATGCGCCACGTAATCAACCGTGTAGGTACCATCGTGATGGTGATGTTCCTGCTGATGGTCCAGGCCGTGTAAATAATTGTGCTCGCCAAAGTGGTGCTCGTCGACGACGACGTGGGGCACTTTTATCTCGTATTCCGGGCCCTGCACCGGCCCGTGGAAGTGCATGTACGAACTCGCCACCGAGACGCGATGATGATCGTGGTGAGCGCCGCTGTCCAGCGGTATCACGCCGGTGATTGATCGATTGACCAGGGCGAGGCCGATGGTTAGCGCGACGTTGACCTATGACACAAGAAGTTTATGTCGCCGACCATCGTCGCGTCGCCGTCCCGGAGATTCACCTCCGGCACGGAATGGCACGCTCTCGATTCTCCACGATCGAGTTATCGATCATGGATGTAAATAGCGCATGTTACCGCATGAACCACCGAGTCAATTTATAGGTACGTAAGCGTCGTTTATATATTTATCGGATTATATTTATTAGCTTTTTGTTTTGTTTTGGATCTTCTTTCGCCTTGTTTTAAGGGAAAAATGTTTTCGAACAATTTTTTGGAATAATGTCGCGATGACGGGGAAAAATCGTTGAAAAATCGAGTGGAAAAAGGATTGTAATTTAAATATTTTTTTTTGCCTGTTCTAGTTAAATACTTTTTCATGTATACTGCGTGCATGTATATATATATATATATATATATATATATATATATATATATATATGGCCAAATGAATTGGGACATTTCAAACTAGCAGAATGTTCGTTGAATCGAAATTGCGCTGAAATGTAACCGTGATCTATACGCAATCGATGTTGCCTGTGTATACAAACTCACTCAATGCCATGAGATGAAATGCCTCTAGAAATTTACGATATATCGACATATCTCTCTCGCGAGAGAAAAAGTTCGTCGGCCTCTCGTTTTTAATTACAGGGGTCCCGAGAGCCCGTCAATGTTCAACCCAACACGAACCGGTCCGATTGAAGTGGCTCGATTGAAAAGGCAGAATAAACGTGATAAAGAAAATGTTTCTTCGTTCTTTCTTGCTTTTACGTTTCATTGATCTCTATGTCTTCCTTATAATCGATTCACATTTTGACATTCGCATCTATTTAACTTATAGATAAACGGAACGTTAAAAAAAATCGTTACACCTCGTCCAACAAAATTAACTAAAAAATGTATCTATGATGTAAGCACAGCTATATTTGTATATAAATAATTCATAGATTGTTGAAAATAAATGCTCGAGAGATTTGAAATTTATTAATAATGCGAAAAATGAAACCGCGAATCATGAATTGTAAAGTTATTTTATGCAAATTTTGCCAAAACTGACAACATGAATAGACAATATTAGAACAATTGTTTATGCACGTACAACTTGCACCACTGCTTATGAATACATGTCCAAGTTAGGAATATAGTATAGTATATGCAAAAAGATAGAATATATGTATGTTAAGGTGCACTATGCAAGATTTTGCATACTTTGCTTTACGTAACTGTACAGTGTTATGTATACCGAATCATTAAATATTTATCACAGGAAACATGAATGTTATACTCATCATAATTTGTGCAAAATTTAAAGAAAATGTATAGTATATAAATATATTTAAGATAATTATTATTATTGCTATAATTAAATTTAAAAAAATAGTTTTTTATATCAATATTTTCCATACAGTACAGAACAAAATGTGAATTTGCTTCAAAAATATATAAAAGAAAACTATATTAATATGCATATACGTAGAAAAATAATAAAAACTTTAAATTAATAAGGAAAGAAAAACTATAAAAACTTATTGTTAAGAAAGAAGATCTGAAAATTAGTTAATCGCAAAAGAACGGTATTTAATTCAATTAAAAAAACCGTTTACCATAGATTAGAGAGAAATGTGCACTTTTTAATTTTCCTGTACATAGAGTTAAACCCCAGAATTTTAACTTTTTTGTAAAAACGTATATTCGCGACGCGACTTGGTTAAACAAATTAATTACATGAAGCAAACTTGAATGTTAAGGAACGCTTTAACTCCATCTTATATTCACGACATTGGTGTTGCTCGGGTTTCCGACGAACCGCGTAGAGAGCTACTTTTTCTTTTCTGTCTCATCTCGAATTATTTATTTCGTAAACCCTTGCGCGCGCCATTTACACCTTCGTAATTACGGGCAATTAAGAATCCGTCGCGCTTTTTGAGCTCTTATTCCCCTTTGAGAATTTCCCTCTTTGTGTGTTTTACTCTTTCCCTCTTACTACTGTCTTCCCTATCTGCGACTCTTTGTCCGAATGTCTCGGAATGGTTCTTTTAACGAGCACTTTCTCCGCGCCGCGTCACTTTTCCTCTTCCTTCGCGATGAGTTTCGACACTCTACCTTGAAAGTCATCTCCACCATTACGATATTTCAGGCGGCCAGATGAGAACTGCAACTTACCAGCGTATTTTCTAGGCTTTTATACACCGGCTCGCTCTGCTTACACGCGGCCACGCATACATATGTGCGTACATCCGCGCCCGGTTCCGGTTCCGACACGAATACAGATGCTGGATGAAGATACACTTCCGAGAGAGTTAGACAAATGTCACATAGAGGTGGTCAAGAATACAAATTTCGAGCACAAATATAAATAATAATCAATTGAATAATAAACATGAACATATTATATAAACATAATTTCATTTGCACATAGAATGATCTAAAGAAAGAAACCGAGGAAATCGAACGGTACGACTGAGAATGAACAAAAATAGCTAATACAGATGCATTTATAAATGTGTATTAAAATTATGAAATCTTCAATGTAAGTAAATTTTTACAGAACTTAAGGATAAAATATAAAGATAGCTTTTATTATTTAAACCTAAATTTTAGCATGGATAGAGCATGGAATTATTTGATTTAAAATAAACGTCTTTAATATATATCATCTTTCACATCAACGCAAATTTGTAATATTTATTAATTATAGCTTATAATAATTCTTAGCATTATGCGCGCACATGCAAGAGAAAAGAATAATAATTATTAAGACAGAAAAATATTATTTTGGATTATTTTAGAAAAATAATGAATGATTATAATGTAATAATAAAATGTTTATATTTTTATAGCAATATATCTTTAGAGAACTTATTTAATTAAAATGTTATCATTTTTAAAGATATTCAAAATATATATCTCTTTTTCTCTATATTTTTAATGGAAACGCAATTTATCCTAAAAGTATCCTATTTAGAAGTAAAGTTAAATAAAATTTTTATTGACAGTTTTGTATTATATACGCTTTATATTTTACAAGAGCCGGAACGAGTTCCAAATGGCGATTTTCACGATGACTCGCAATGTCATAAAACCGATTACGTATTAATAGACAGCGCATCTTTACGTGTAGCATGCATTGAAAAATGATCCGAGAGATCGTATAAGATCACTTCCTTCCTCTCAGCCGGCGCCGCATCGAATGGCTTCCTTCTTCCCGTGAGATACACGATGCGATATTGCCGCGAGCTTTTCTCGACATCAAGACGCAATACTTGATTGGCTTGAGAGAATCAATTTTTATCTCTCAATTCAGAGCTTCATTTTAAACGAAAATCTTACTTCTCAAACTATCGAAAGATTATTTCAAAGAAAGATTAATAATAATAATACGTCGAGAATCAATATGGAAAAAGCATAATGATGGATGTACATATATAGAAATTATATTAAATTATATTATATAATTGAAAATATGTTTATCTGCGAATTATTATCAATATTGTAATTATGCACATATACATATAATATGTCGTTGTTATTTGGAACGATAATATACGAGATATAATTATTTTTCAATTTCTAAAATTAGTTAAAAGATTGTTTTGTGCAGATCATTTTTTTTTTTTGTTAAAATCACCAAAATTTGCGAAAGAAATTGCGCGATATTTCTATATACATTTTGTTAGCTAAATATGACTATGAATATTGTACAATATTTGCGCATCGTTTTTGTACTTTGCAATATTTATTTATTTTTTTTTTTTTTTGAAAAAGTAAATATTGAATTGTATAAAAAGTGTATTATCTGTCAAAACGTTTGCCTGATGATTTTCAAAGATATGTTAAAGTTCAAATTGCATAAAAATAATATTTCAATCCTCAAGTTAATCAGATTGTGTATTATTTATTAAAATCATTTTTCCTCATTCTGTCCAATAGCGTTCTTCTTTAAGATTATCTGGTTTGATGGAAACCCAAAGCGCCTTATACAAGACTCGTCTATTCGCGTGAAAAGCAATTCTTAAGCGCAGGTCCATTCACATAAGATTTCGTCTATAGTGCTGTATTATACATTGAATAATAGCGACAATAAATAAATAATAACAACAATAAAAGCAGTAATCATTGAAAAAATTTTACTTTTTACAATATTAATGCAATAATTTCCGACAATTATGTTTTTCTAGTTTTATTTACTTCTTTATAAATATCGACAAAAGACTTACACAATAAGCCTCGTTCCTTTTTAATAATTCGTTTTTTATATTTTATATTAAAAAGAGCAACGTTATGCTGAAGTAGATTGACATAAAATCTTTTTTTTTTCTTTGTAGTTTAAAACGCACTCCGAGAGAGAGAGAGATACTGTGCTTTTACGAAACAGAATCAGCCTAAAGTTGGCTGGCGCTCGATAGAAGGCATCCTCTTTGCCTTCTTCGTTGTGAAACGATAAGAAATATCGCATCACTATGTATTACGGAAATTTCTTTCGTCTTTTCTGCATCGTAAGAGAGAGCGACACAAAATATATGACACTATTATATCTCAATTAAATTCATGCGCATCTTTCTTTGATTTTGTCAAAGTCTTCTATTAGCGTCAATAGTTAATTTATTTATAATTTATTAGAAATTTATTTATTGTAGTGTAAACCACAATATCACGTATATATGAAGGATATATATTCATGCACGATTTGTCTATTTGTAACAGTAAGTGATGCTACGTGTAAATTGCAAATCTGCGGCACAATTAATAAGCTATCGTTTATATAATATATATATTATATATATATATATATATATATATATATATATATTTAAGTTAATAATACATGTATATCATTATAATAGTACAATATATATATTATTATTGTAAATGACCATTACCTCTACGACACGTAATTTGATTGGCGGGATTTATGGCGATGTCCAATAAGGATAGACGTTAACGATCGACCTCACCACATTTGATAACCCGATTAATGGATTGCGCTATGATAATGAACACGCGTAAAGGGAAATACAGGCCGCGTCAGCACTCGCCATACGTCGCTAATTGGATTTTCTTTTGTGAGCAGAGAAATTCTACGGGAAATACGTGTATTAAAGCCTTGTGCCGCTATTAACCATCCGACAAACCTTTGAAACGACACAAACCGCTGTTTCGACGTCGACGGGGAAACGATGATACGCTTGTTTCTTCGCTGAATATAAATGTGCTCCATTATGAGCGCGTACATACGGCACAAATTGCCGTGTCTTCGCATCAAACGATTATAAACGTATCGCACTTGTGCCCGCTCTTTGTATATTTCTCCGCATAATATTCTTGCTTCTCGACGAGCAAGTCGAACGCGATATTCTGTACGCGCAATGATAATCAACTAACCCTCCTCGACTTCATAGAGCACGAGGTAATAAAATTGACGTAAAGGAAGTGTCCCGGATCGCCGCAACAAAGGATGGTAATTGGAGCAATTTCGCGGTTTTGCAAATAAGCTCTCTTCACAGTTAATAAATAAGCAAATTAGAGAGAATTTTATTATATATAATGCGTTTCGGATTAAAATGGCCTAAAAGTAATAAACTGCGAGAAAATATACGCAAATGCGTTATGTCAATAAACATGCGGCTTAATACGTGCCTTTTGATATTTGACATTTCAAAATGTGTACAGAGAATACAAGCGTATTATTTCGCTCACTTTCCATTCTGTCATTTCTAAAAATCAAGCAACGTGGCGACGTCATGATGCCAAATATTATACATAAAAAATGATTGATCGTGTCATTCACGGCATATTGTCGAGATGCTACCAATTAACTTATCCTGAAATCTTCTGTCAAATATCTTCAATTAAAATATCTTTAAGATTGAAGTCTAAAAATCTAACGGTACCTTTCTTGTATAATCTAGATGTAAACTTTCTATTGATTATCTTTTTCTATTGATTTCCCTTCTCCGCTCTCTTTCTCTCTCTCTGTATAATATAAGTAGCGATATATTTGTATTTAAAAGTATTATAAACTTAAAAAATATAAATATATTAAAAGTACTAAACTGTAGAATAATTGTATTTTAAAGAGCTAATCTATTTACATTATAATAAATACATAAAAGTAAATAATACATTAATATTATCATATATAATATCATTTAGAATTAATCAATATATATATATGATGTACTGATTAATATTATTTAAAAAAATATTATTTGAATTTGAATTATTAACACATAATTGTAATATGTTATTTACATATATTGTTTGCAAATATTGTAAATGCATATAGCTATGGCGTATTTATTTTTATTAAGCAATTTATTGAACTTGCGTACAATAAAGCAATTAGAATCACACAATTTTGCTTGTTGTTTTAAAGAATGAATTATTAATATTTGGGATGATTTAAATAATAAAGAGAAAAAGATTTTTTAAATATTAATTATTTTGAGTATTGCTATAAAAATGTTATTTTATATTTCTACCATAAATCAATGTAATTAACTTTTATTGTTATGCGGTAAATAACAGATTCATTTCATGATAAAAAATGTCAAATACATATAAATATGTCTTAGTTTTCGTTTTTTTTTTTTTTTTATTCTATTTATCGCATACGATAAGATACTTTCTATACATGATGTATCTTTTGTCTTTTTTTTAAAGAAAGTTTATAATTAAATAGATTGATCCTGTCATGTTCTCGTCATGTCCTCAGGTATCCAAATTTTTCGAATAATGGCGAACAAATAATGATGACAACAAGTATTGTTGAATTCCAAATTCATCAACACATGCATGCATAGAACGACTGACAGTTGGCACAAAAAACTGGTCGAGCGTGCAATCGAATAAAACCGGCATAAATAATGTACGCCGCACGATTCCATCGTCCCGACATAACATTTGTAAACGAACGTCGCGTCGTCGACTGTATTATGCTTTCGTTTCGCACGTGACGCACGTCAGAAGTTCGAATGCTCGACTCGATTAAACTAATTGGCATTTTGCAGATATCCCTCGCGCGAATCGAGATATGTATTTTGCCATTTATGAATAATCAGTTTAATAGGATATCAATTTAATTATTGTAATTGCAATTTAACATCGAGACACTATAGTTATATCTGTATACCAGTTATATCAACAGACACTTGATCCAGATATCTTTAGCGTTCGAAATTGAAAGAATTCGTAAAAAAAGGGAAGGACAGGGAGAATAATTTTAGATATTTCGAATAAATTTTATTACTATACATTTTTATTTTCGAGATGTCAATGACCTCGATCTCGTATTACATGCGTGACTTTTCCTCATCTCGTGTTTAAGTTAAGGATCGATTATAATTTAATTGCATCTGTACAATTTGCCCGTGATAACTTTCTTTGTATTTCGCGTGCTGCTTCAGCCCACCCATTAAATCCACATTACATCGCACGAAGCCTCTCTTGTTAAGATTCCGCGAAACGGTTTCGCGAGGGAAGTCTCGATGAAAAGTATGAAGAGATCCGAGCTTTATATATATATATAACATATATATATATAATATAGTCTAAGCTATAAAAGGTACAGTCTCGTATTTCAAGCCGTAAATCAAGAAGCTCGATCTCGGAGTAAGTATGATTCCCGACGCGATATGGAGCTTCTCGGCTGAGAGAAAGAAGAGCTCGCTCTTTCGCGCCGAGGGAAACCTGTTCAAAGAGGATCGACCGCATTTGCAGATTTGTTTTAATCGTGAAGCGCTTGGGTCGCAATTGCAGCAGAGAGGATCCGACTCAGATCGGGTGAATCTACTCAATTTGCACTTGACGCGATCGCGGAAGGTAAAGGTTTGTTGACGACTCTTTTCTCAGAGAGCTTCATTCCCTTGTCGAGGATAAAAACGATGTATTAATGTGAATATCTTGCATTGTATAAGATATATTTTTTCATCCGATGCAGATGCATCGATATATGAATTAGAAATAATATTTTTCTCCGTGTATACGAGAAAGAATCAAATCAACGCGTATTATAATAATATTATATACTATTACAAAGATAATAAATTACATTTATAACTTATAATTATATAAATAAGAATATATTATACCTTATTCATCGAATAATTTTAAATTATAAAAAGAGAGATATATAGTCTCGATATTAAGTATATGAAAAAACGAGGTGCTATTAAATAATTAATTCAAAATTTTTCAAATATGTTTTTAGTCATTTCAAGAACTAATAATGAAAAATCTTCAATGTTACTTTTCTCATACAATGTCAATGAAAACTTTTGATTGGGCTCAATTTTAATAAAACTACTCTCGTAAATTTTATTCAAGATCTATTCGACATGTTTATATAAAAATGTGACAAGAAACTTCTTAGCAGTCATTTCTCGATGAAAATGATAATTATTTATATAGATTTTCATGTAAAGTTTATCTAATAAATGAATCGTGGCTCTGTAGATTAACCTTACAATAGTTCAATAATAAATTATATTAATATTGTCCAACAAAAATGAATGAAAAAAATGTGCTGTATCATAAATATGTAAATGCTAGAAAATTGTCATAAAAATGTTAAAAAATCTAAAAAATAGGATATGGCGGAAAAGAGGTAATTTAAAACGACCTGCAGTGGTAACACCTTGTGAAAAACGAGCAATTTTGAAAGTGGCATTAAATTCGCAGATGACTACAAAACAAATTGTTGAAGTATCTGAAGTAAACACGTGTATTAAAAAACGTTCGATAAAATTGTGTTTATAATAATAAAAAAAAATAAAAAGAAAATATAGATAAACATAACAATATTATTTTTATATTTAGATAAAGTAAAAGATTTTTATTGGATGTCTTTAAAGATTTAGATTCTGCCGAACATTATAGTAAAATAAAGAAAAAAGTTTAAAGAATGTTATATTTATACCAATTATAAAAGAAAGTTTAATTTGAATAGAATTAACTTTACTTCAAGAATATAAAACTGTATTAATCATATACTAATCATAAAATACCACGTTTAATGATAGAATAAAAAGTCGAAATGTTTGTCGAATTAAGCGAGGCAAGAGAGCACTCGGATGAAAAGCGATAGCAAATGTCAATAGCGACGAGCGCATAAAACATATTTACGCAAATTACGCGAACCTTAGACCGCGCGCGAAAGCTGTGAGCTTTTATACTCCCGGCAGTAACGGACGAGATATCACGAGCCGCGGAAGCACACGAAACTCCCACGCGCTTATTGCTCTTCGGTCGTCAGAAGCTCAATTAAAATTCCCACGGAAATTTCTCATCCGCCCGGGACACTTATCCCGTCGTCGTACGACACACTAACGCGTTGTGGAATTTCTCTCGCCGCTATTTTTCTTCTCGCCGCAATTTCAAGCGGGCGGACCTTAGGTAAGTACGTATCACTTGGAAAATGGGAGCGCGCAGGCAGGTTAGCGATAAGGCTAACATAATTCTATCCGCCCTTCGCAAAGTATCGCGACGCCTGGAGCGTGACTCGTCTAGATGCACCGTTGCGAATTGCGTTTGGCGATTAATCCCGAGGTACAAAATGCTCGGCGACGTATAACCGGCGAGTATGGGGGGCTTTTAATTTTCGCGTTCGTCACGTACCGCCTGCTGAGAACCTCTGGCTGAATTAATCTTCCGACCGCGAATACCGCGCTACGAATTGTTGTGAAACGTACACATCAAGAAATGCGACCCTTTCATGCGCACTATTTTTCTATTGCCCTCTTATTACATGGATAATAGTATGTACGTGATATCTTCAAGAATTACTGTCGTTTTTTTTTAACTATGAATTCTTTGGCGAATTTAACGAATAATATCCGTTTAAATTAATTAAACAAATGGTAAAAATATTAATAACAAATATTAAAATATTTTTAATATATTTTGAAAGCTAATAAAAATTTTATATTAAGAATAAGGAATAAGAATTAAAACGAATATCCGTTTAAATTAATTAAACAAATGTTAAAAATATTAATAACAAATATTAAAATATTTTTAATATATTTTGAAAGCTAATAAAAATTTTATATTAAGAATGAGGAATAAGAATTAAAATTATGATATTAATTTTAGGATTAATTGCACATTATACAAAATTATATTCATGGCATCAATTTTATGCAACTAAAACCACCATTTACAGCTGTCCATTTTATGCTTCCCCCGATCAAAACGTTAACATCTTCCTCGAGTTCCAAGTGACCACAAAAACGGGCCGGGGCGAGAGGAGCTTTCGACAAACTCACAATACAAAAGCGATGAGATCTTAACGAGCACCCGCGTATAGTTAATCAATCTTCATTCCGGTACTTAATTACTCACAAACTTACTCACACGTCCCACGAAAAGGCATATATCGAGTGTTGTTTCCGTAACATGTAGCAGTCGACGAACAAACGACAATTAAGATAACACTCGTATCAACAAAGATGCGCTCGTTAAAGTCATAATAAATATACACTTTAAACGGAACATCAAATATTATTACGTTTAATTAATTTTTATAGCACAAATTCTAGTTTTTATGGCGAATACATTGCAAATTGTAATTTATTTGTCTTAATTCTTCTATCAGCTATTAAATAAATTTATATAATTAAAATACGTTTATATTTATAAATACGACACATTAATAATATACAATTTTGTAATGCTCAAAATATATTTTAAAAGCTAATGACTAGCTATTAAAATATAAATTAAAATATAATCTCTTGCTATATTCTTCCTTTACTTTATCATTTTTTATTTAAATTTAAAGGAGCTTTAAGTGAAGTATATTTTCGATATTGGACGATCTTCTTTTAAAGAGCATCGCTCTTCTTCGTTAATGTGACACTTGTGATAGAACATTTGGCCACGTGTGACATTTGTGGATTAACATGTTAACGAGCTGTCAACGATCATTCACGAGTCGACACGACGACGTTGCTACGTAAATCAAAGTTCAAGATTATAAGAAATTAAAATATAATCTCTTGCTATATTCTTCCTTTACTTTATCATTTTTTATTTAAATTTAAAGGAGCTTTAAGTGAAGTATATTTTCGATATTGGACGATCTTCTTTTAAAGAGCATCGCTCTTCTTCGTTAATGTGACACTTGTGATAGAACATTTGGCCACGTGTGACATTTGTGGATTAACATGTTAACGAGCTGTCAACGATCATTCACGAGTCGACACGACGACGTTGCTACGTAAATCAAAGTTCAAGATTATAAGAAATTAAAATATAATCTCTTGCTATATTCTTCCTTTACTTTATCATTTTTTATTTAAATTTAAAGGAGCTTTAAGTGAAGTATATTTTCGATATTGGACGATCTTCTTTTAAAGAGCATCGCTCTTCTTCGTTAATGTGACACTTGTGATAGAACATTTGGCCACGTGTGACATTCGTGGATTAACATGTTAACGAGCTGTCAACGATCATTCACGAGTCGACACGACGACGTTGCTACGTAAATCAAAGTTCAAGATTCCAATACACTTGCACTTGTCGCGCTTGGGTAAGCAAGCGCGACACCTCCGTTCTATGTGCTAAAGCGTGCAGCTTGTCGCAATCTTAAGACCTGTTGATCGAGCGCAATCAAGTTCCTCGTCACCGGACCATGTCCGACACGTGCTTCGGCGATACGCAAACAAACGCACTTCAACCAAGTTGGTCATGCAAATAGCCCTTGAAAGCCCTTCTATTAACCAGCTGTTTCTAAGAGAACACCTTTCGCAACTGTATCTCTTATTGTTTCATTATATCTTATTTTTATTTATTTATCATGTACAAATAATATGTACATGATAATAAATATAATTGTATTATAAATTTATATTTACCGTGTGCAAAAATCACAATGTTAACGTATTTATAACAAATGATATAACAATTAATATATGTATTTTATGCGGAATCAAAATTCACTACATGCGTAATAAATTATTGATGCTTTCAAACGCGTGGGTGTTCAACGTTATATCGATAAACGATAGAAACGTAATTGATCACGTTTTATACATTTTGCGCTGCTAATTGCAGTTGTTTCGCTTCGCAGTTACTTATCGATTACAACAAACAGCACGTACAGTCTGTGCATTCGAAAATAATTGCTATTGCGTATGGGCGCAACGAACTTTGAATATAAATATTCTAAAAATGCAGCTATTTGTTTTACACATAATATATAGAAGAAAGCTGAATGTTGCAAATTCCCATTCTACGATAAGAATTGATTTGTTTTCTCAATATATTATATATCAATTTATTAAAAAATATTTTATATAGGGAAATGAAAAATTGTGAAATACATATATATCGATAGAAATACAGGATTTGTTTTTTATCACATACAAGAGAGTTTTACATAATAATATAAATTTTTTGTTTTTCTATTAAAAGACATAATGCTAGAATTGATTTCTTCAATAGATCTTTGTGTTTAGCTATCTGTATGAAGATGCGTCCTGAAATTGCGTAGAGAAATCTCTATGGATTTATCAATGAGATTGCTGTCCCGAGGGAAATAGCGCGAAACTATCAGAATGACCCGCGTTTGCGTCAATAACCAGTTTCTCATTAATGGTAAAATCCAACCACAATTACTCCGGCTATGATTAGCGTCGCGCGAGAAAGATAAATAGCTTCGTAAACACATCGCGACAGCCGGGGGCTCGCAAATGCTATTCACAGTTATTAATGATAGAGATTAGAGTTTTATATGTGACTTGATGTATCGCATACGGTTTCCTTTTCATACGGCTACCAACGGTACGGTAGGTAATACGCACGTTTCTAATCTATCAGCGCATTTATCGTTCTTATCGCGAAAAATTGTATTACACGTGTGGCGCGAACTGTCACGTCGTGATTTATTCCGCATGACGTTGTCTCGCGAGATTATCAATGCGGAAATTCACACGGTCAATGAGCGAGAGTGATCAATTACACTTTTAATCATGTTATTCGTTTAATAAACGGCTAAGTCACTTGATGTATTAACGCGGGAGCTAGATTAAAATATACATTCATATATATGTATATGTATTATATATGTACATATATATAGAAATAACGTTAATAATTATGCTATATGTTACGACACGGCGGGTTATATTACATGGATGGTGTATTACGCGTATATAGATTATACCGATTAATACAAACTCGCGTTACTGGACCTCATCTCTTTACATTATTAAGATAGAATTAAAAATGTCATAAATTAAAATATTTTATAACTTAACAATCGAAAAAACAAATGATATAATTTCTTTTGAAATATGAAAATTTTATTTTACAAAAGAAAACTGAGAAATTATTTCGATAATACGTCATATGATTTTCATTAGAGACAATTTGACGAAATTATATCATTATGCTTAAGATAAAATGCGTTGATATATAAAAAAATCCTATTTTTTAAGACAAAGAAAAGTATATATTATTTTTTGAAACATTAAGTTTTCTAATTCTCTTCATATGTATTTGACAGAAAATTTTAAAGAAATTTAAATATACCTAATATAAATCAATTTCAGAAAGAATTGTAATTGTCATTACACAAGTGTCGTGAGGGCAGTTTTTTTTTTTTTTTTTTACCGAATAAGAACATATCACGCGCATATCTGAATGTGACACTTAAGGCAATGCGGTTTAGCAACACTTTGTTCGCGTGAAGGATCAAACGCCTTTGTAATTCTATATGGCGGTTGTATGAAAGCGATCCCGTCTGTTCCTTGAGAGACTCTCGCGCGCGTGCCAGGTACCCACAAGCGGTCACAGGTCAAGTCGAGGTGAACCCATCAGCTTAGAGGCAGCTTCGTCTAGTTCGGACCCGTATTAATGCAAAAGGAATTTGTAATTAGCTGCCTGTATAGAAACGGGTTCAAATTACCGAGTCAGTAAATTACGCCAGTAGCGATATCATATGTAATATCATGGACAATGCAATGCTAACGATAATGCTCTCGCGTATGCGCAGCTCGCAGGACGCTTAAAAGATATGTAAAACATCGCGCGTATAGCGCGAACAATGTTGGAAAGCAATTCGAAATGTATACTAATCAAGCATTTTATGCTAATTTATTAAAATTTGTTTACTCGCGTGCCGTTTTGTTTCATTTAGCACAACTTATTAAAGATATATATATATATATATATAATTTTGGCGAAAAGCAAGAAAGAATTCTATATTTATATACTTTATGCAGCAAACTTAATATATATATCTCTTACACTGGATTTTAATTTAAATTTAAAGAAATTTGTGTAAATGCTATATTTTAATTTGGACAATAACACATGGATTTTACTGAAACTTGCTCCAAAAAATGTGTAATTATGATAACGCATAATTATATATACCGTTTAGATTAATC